TTGCGGCATATTATTGCAAATAATTTACCCTGCAAAGTAATTATCAATGCTCTGCTCAATATGTAAAGTGCGCACTTCAGGTGGCTTGCTTAATTTGCTCTGGGTGGCTATCATTTGAGCGTGGATTTTTAGCTGCGGTAACTGTGGCAGTTTCTAATAGAGAAGGCATTAGGAGAGAAAGTGAAGTGAGGATGAAGTGGCGCCGTAATTGAGTTGACTTTTTGCAGGGGAAGGTCAACAATAATGGAGGAACAATTTAAACAATTCATTTAGACAAGTCTCCAGTCTCTGTACAGTAGGTTACCTAGTCGGGAAAAATCTCTATTTTCCCAACCATTTGCTTTGCTATATTTTAACACTCTTACCTGTAATTGCTCAGATGCCTGAGATGTAAGACAAAGATGTGTCATTGATTCAAACTGACTTGTAAAAAGCAGCTGTCTTTTAGGGATTGACTTTTTAAAAAAATTAATAAATAAAAAATCCACAGGAATTGCACAATAACGTGTGTATGCACATTCTGTGTATGCAGGGGTTTGCCCGCATGTCGATATGCAAGGCAAGTGTGTGAAAAGCAAGCGCACTGTGCACGGTATACAGCCCGTATTATGAGTTGATTATGTATCCAGGAACCTGGCTGCTGCACAGCATGGCACAATCACAATGGAGGGTGATAATTTAATTGTGCTAAACGGTGGAATCCGTGTCAATGCTCCTCCAGCTGGGAGCTGTCAGGTAGTAATATCTCATTATGGCAGGTGAAGAACCCAGAGGAACCCTACCATGACACCTGTTAGAACAGGAGGAACCCCTGAAGGGAAATACACAGATGATTTTCTCTCTCTCTCACTGGCCCTCCGCGGCTCCCACGCACACGTTCACACACACTAAGCTTCCACACTATTATCTACTATCTACCCAACTTCATTTAAGATATTGTATCCCTATGTTTTGATTTATTATTAGCTGTACATAATGTGTAGTGCACAGTTAATAGAGCGCAATATACTAACAGTGTGCTAGAGGGAAATAGTCATAGGCCTTTTGTTAATTGCATTATTGGAATATTAGAAAGTGAGAAAACTATTTGAATGAGCACATGTTGGGCAAATGTACACACTGATAGACCACAAAGGAACTTCTTTATCTGTAATTGTTTGCTGTTCCATCCCGTTTAAGATATCCTTCGCTTTTTTAATCATTTCTTAGTTTTTCTCTCCTCGTTCCACTGAAAACACACGTAAGAAGAGTCTAATCTCCTCCTCATCTCTGGGACTCATGATCAAAACTTGAGGGTGCAAGACATCAGCAGTGAGACAGACGAGTGTCCGGGTGGGGTGATCGGGGGTGACGGCGTGGAGTTACTTAGGCCATTGTCTATAAAAGGTAAACAGTGTGACAGAGTAGAGACAGAGGGCGAAAGTCAGTCAGACCCTTTTATGATGAATGAGGAAATGGGATATCTGAGGACACATGGCTCGCCAGTCACAAGACCACCAAGATGAGCAATGCACATCACTCCTCTAATACTTACCAATTATACAGAGGTTGTTTTGCACGATGATGAAACATTATCTTGGGGAACAATTCATGACTCAAAGCATTCCAGGTCATATGAGCCAGTGGCCGGAGAACTTAAGACCTAACCCTTCAAATGTGCGCAATATTGTCAGCTATATATAGACTGGGTATCTTTTCTATCTGACCCTCCCTCATCTCTGTCTTAAGTCGTCAAAGTGACTGGGGCTTTTGTCTTTAAGAAAGATGGCTGCGTATCTTACACTTGTTGTTATGATTTGGATTATCCCGCAGCCGGGTTAGGGTTAGGCTTTTCAAGTTCACCTCATTTTTATTGTTTTGTAAAAGCACATTTTGGTCATAATAAAGTGAAACAGGGCTGTTTTGCTCACGCACAAGAGGCAAAGGATGCATACAGTCTTATTTGAACTGAAAATATAATCAGATTCCACATGCTTTGGTGGTACCCTCATTCAGCTAAATTCTGCTCCCTCTTCTACACCTCATCAGATGTCTTTGTTGTTTCTGCGCTGATCTATTGCACGTGCACGCCTTTAGATCACAGCCCTCTGTGATCGCCTCTCCAAATATGAGGAATAAAATACTGTATGGTTGCCCTCAGATATTTTCAGAGAATTATTGCCACACTTCTCCCTTTCCCTTTTAATAATATGAGGTAGTATTGTATGGGGCTTGTCAGGGGTTGGGGGTGGGGCAGAAGGGTTTCTCTGCACTCTTTAGCTGCCTGAGCGCAGCCCTCCCAGCACTGCTAATAAATTATTAACTCCTGCTGACAAATACTGTTATGGAGCTGCAGATCTGTTGCATTCTTTAACAAGATTGCTGTAGACACATGTTACAGGAGGATGGAGTCTCCATTGCTCCCTCTTCTTCGTTTCTCTCTCTCTCTCTATCGCCTTCTCTCACTCACGCCTCAGCAGTTTGACTGATGGCTGGAGACCAAAGTAAAAGTGCCTGAGAGACTGAATATTTTAGTGGTAAAATAATACTACTTGATTTACTGTGTAATACAAAAGCAGTGCTTTGTTTCACTCTCACACTCCATTGAGGACGAGGTGCTTGTTGCGCTTCAGGCTCGAGCTTTTTGTGTGCATGAATAAAAAATATGTCAGAATATGCGTTCAGCCTACTCCCGCCCCACACACACACACAGATATGCGCACACACACACTTCATTTCCAATAGCCCAACTTCTACTCCCTCCACTTACCATTACATGCATGCGCTGAACTTTGCTCTGACTTCTGATTGACAGTGAACAGTGCGCAATTTTAAGCTCATTTTCTCTTTGATATAATTGAAGGAAACAATTTAATAACTGATTAAAATGAAGAGCTGAGTCGCACTAAAAGACACAGCCAGCAGCATTTCGAGGCACAGCGGCTAAAAAGTCAGAAGAAGAGACAGAAAAAGAAGCACACAAGCAGTCAGGCACGGGACCACACTCCTGCATTACTGTCTACCTGTCTTGGTGGGTTTGTTTGTACAGCTGCTGAGACACAAGAGATCAACTTAGGCTACTATTGTTTAGGCCTCAATTCACTGCCCAGGTTGACTGTGACTGTGTGCAAGAGAGTGAGTGAGTGAGTAAATAAGCAGCAAAGAGGATGGTAACAACTCTGTCACTGCAAATTTTTAAATAGTAAGTAGAGAATTGTCTGATTTTCTTTGGCATAAATTCCCGCCGCACCTCTCAGATCTTCTGAAGTTGGTGTTTAGGGTTTGTTTTTTAAAGGTAAAAAGAAAACTTTGCGACACACTCTTTAATTTCTTTAACTATTGCGCCATATCTATTTTTATGTTATTGGTTCATTTCGTATTGTCTTCTATTCTGAACTTTTCACAATCTTAAAATTTTGCTTTCTAAAACTTGTACAGCATGTTTGGATCCAGTCTATAGTATTCAGCTGTGTGTGTGTGTGTGTGTGTGTGTGTGTTTACATGGACAATACATTTTATTTGACACGCTTCCTTGAGAAGGACCAGGAACCATTACAGTCAAGACCTTGTTAGCAAAATCCTTTTTTTAATATGAAAATACCTTTGCCTATCTCTTGGTCCCCGGCTCTCAGCAGAAAGTGCAAGGACACCATCGCACCACAGCCTGCCTCAACCTTGAGAGCTCCCACCCCCACATGTCAAGCTGAGGGTGAAACTAAAGTGCTGTCACACTGACCCCTGTGGATAGAGCAGGAGAACAGGGCAGATGTTGATCAGTGATGAAATGCAATGCAAGAAGTATCTTGAGCATTTTGTCGCATACAAACACATAGCTGTAACTTCCCACCCCCATTTAAATTTTTTTTTTTAAATTCTTCCTTCTCCCATGCAAACGCAGACCAACTCACACGCCATGACTGTGAGCATTTACAGCTTGGTTTTAATGATCGATATCCCAGAGTTGAGAAGAATAAACAGAACAACAGCTATGGGAAAGGTAGATTAGCAGCTAAATATGCTCCAGCTTCTTCTCTCCACTTTAGATCAGTAGGAAGGCCCTATTATCCTCTTTTTAATTTAAAACCAAACACATAATTAGATTTTCTGGCAGTGTTTAATTTCATTCTTTGTAGCGCACAGCATGAGTGAAGGCTCATTAATTGTGAGAAAACGCGGAATTGGTTGTATAAATTTTACACCGAAAAGAGTTGGGCTGTTTAAAAAAAGAAAAAAAAAGAGAGAAATTAGAATTAACATGAGTTTCCTTTGCACCTGATATGTCAAGTACACTCTTCACTGTAATATTCATGAAAGCATGTGACAGATTTGTGAATTTAGTCCTCCTGCGAGCTTTGGTTTTTAAGCCGCTTAAGTAGGATTTGATGGCCTGGGGGAACGCTGTCAATAAATGTTAATAATTTCCTCATTTGATGCACGGAAACAAAAGGAGACAAGGATGGCTTTTGTTCGTATCTGACTGGTTCAGAATGAAAGAAAACCAAATGAGGGAAATTACTAAATTATTACGATGTTTGGAGGACAAAACCAAATATGTTTGAAAAATAGAGAACATCATTTAGGTAGCGTATGAATAAAAGACAAAGAAAAAAGAGGGGGGAAAGCAATCTCGTACCAGGAGTTAACTCATTTGTTAGGTTTTTCACTTTTTATCTGGATTTAGTCCCTCTCTGGTTGACCTGCTGGCTGAGTAACTGTTGTGGGGTTTGGACCAGAACTCAAATAGGGATGATTCCAGCCACAGATCAAGTCATCCATCTGCATTAAACAAAGGATTAGGGACCCCATGGCCTGCCCCCAACTCAGCTGCCCAGAACAGCAACAGGTGACAGCCAGGTTAATCATTCATCTCATGCACCATCATCCCCTCAGGTGCACTACCTGTAATCCCAGTGGCAGCTACGAACCCCCCCCTCCAAACTTGATATTCATTCATGAAATTCTTCAACAACTATAAGTCATAATCTTTTTTTTTCCAACTATTTTGTTTCTTTGCTCCACAGCAGAGTCATGTCTTCCAAGCAAGCCACGTCTCCTTTTGCCTCTGTGGTTGATGGGGATGATGCCATGAGTCAGGAGCATTTGTCTTGGGAGAAAGAGGAGAGCGCAGAGGCCCATGGCACACCACAGCTGCCGCTGCACAGTCTGCTTCACGGAAAAGCCCCTGATGAAATGCAGCCGCTCAGCAGCGTACCATCAGAAAGCGATTGGGACAGCCTGGTGTCAGCCCAGCAGCGCATGGTGAGACATTCATACGCAGTTGCAAAACAAACCTCTAATAGAGCCCATGCTGGTTAACCAATAATGCCAAACATTTCAAAAGTCTCATACATTTTCACAAAGCATCTTTGTGCAGATGAAAAGAGTTTTAAATTCGCACAGATTTGAGCTGGTTTTTCACCTGCCACTGGGGACAGCAAATGTTTCACACAGAGCATCACACAGTATAAAAAGCATAATGACAGCAATAACAAAGATTTCAAGTACAAAATTAAAAAGAAAAAGTAAAATATGACAGCAAGCCATTTAGCAGGACAAATACCAATGTAGTCTGCTAAAGTTATACCGAACTGGTCGATCTCTAAACCTTTTTTATTATTCTGTAGTGACTCTGTGATACTTATGGAGTGAATGAAAAACAGTGTGAGCTACTGTGGGGCGTAGAAGACGAAGCTCTGTTTAAATAAAGCATAGTAATACAGGACAATTTCAAACCTATTAGTATGCACTTATGTCTTACTGTCCTCCCGGGGGTATTCACGATCCAAGCGGAGCAGCCACTCATTGTTCCTGGCTTGTATAAAGAAGCTTAGCTGATATTCTATCACCAGCTCCAGCCCCGTGGTTCTGTAATGCTCTGAATCCTCAGGGATTCTGGAGCCTTTCAGACAGGCAACTGTGCCAAACATTAAACCATGAACTATTATTAGGTTAAAGAGGGGATCTCTAACTCTTCTCTGAGCAATGTGAACGGCACATAAAATTACTTAATAGCAGATGGAGAGGAATGTAGCTTTATCTGCTTTCTTTGGTGTGCTTTGGATTTACGTTACTGCAAAAAAAAAATTGTGTGCTCAGTGCGTGTGTTGTTTCTCTTGTTTTGTGTAAGCTACATCTGCGGCAAGACCCCCAGATGCTGCGCATTTTAAGTGGAGCGCCGCTTTGATATGAGCAGAATGAGGAAGAGCATAGGCACTTGTGGGCTATAGACACAGGAGGCAGGTGGTTGTCTGTGACAGACGGGCCTGCGGTAAAGAGACCCAGAGGGCTTCTGAAGTAGCTCTGCAGTTTGCCACTGAGACCCTCAACACCTTAGCACAACACACACACACACACACACACACACACACACACACACACACACACACACACACACACACACACACACACACACACACACACACACACACAGAGCCATAGGATTTCTCAGGTTCTTGTCATCTGTAGCACATTACAGTGTGTCAGCAACAGGATTTTAGTGAATTTTATGATGTACAGCTAAAAAAAAAAGCATATAGAAACACTTCACAAACATACATAACTAATATATAAAATAAATAAACTATGTGTCACACAAACTTAAATAAAATGTCAGAGACAAAACATTGAGTTATGTAACCTCTTAAGGATAAAAAAACTTAAATACAAGAAAGTTATTTTTTTTTTAAAGAAGAAATATGACGGCATCAATCACCATGTTTTCTTAAAGAAAGTATAAGACTGATCTTTCACTGATGTAAACAAGGCCAGCAGCCATTGAAGTAACAAAAAGAAAGAGTCTGCAGGTCTGAAAACTTTCGATATGACTTTGATTCAAGCACAACACATCATGAATAGTTAGATAGTAGCTATTTTAAATGTTAAAGGTTGAGTGTTTTATTACTTCTATATTATTCCCTCCTCTTGCCTTGATTTTGTCACAGTCCTAATTGGTATAATGTACAGTTAGGAGTGGATGTTTTTTATGCCCATGCCATCTTCTACGCTTGGAAGGTATTTCAACTGAATAATAGGTTGAATAGTAAGTGGGAGTAAGAACTAAAAAGGAGAGTAAAAGGGAAAAAACAAGAAAAAAGGGTCAAATGCAAGAAGGTGGATGAAGAAAAGAAAAGGACATAAGGTGGAAGGAATTAGAGTGTTGCCTTTGCTGATTACCTGACTCTATTGCTGTGCCATGGCTCTGTGTGGGCTGTGCCCTGAACCCACGCCAGCTGATTAACCCAGCACTGCTCCACTCCCCTCAAGCACTCTCAACTGTCTCTGCCATGCTGCATAATGATCCAGCGCTGGGCTGGGAGGTGCAGAGTAGGCCGGTCAGTCGTGCCACCCTGGCACTTGGTACCAGACCACCCTACACTCCACTGAAACTCTGCCTCGAGCTCAACATGCCACACAGGGATGAGAACTCGGCACTGTCAACACTCCTGCCTGGTTTACTGCATTCCTGACTTTTTATTTGGGATTGTCAGCGACTCCAGACATGGTTGCATCATTTAACCATGCTGTAATACACTCTTATCACACTGGTGCTGATTAAAGCTCCCTGTTTTTTTGTTTTTTGTATGACAGGCTTGCAGTATATTTTGGATTCAGATCTTCTCTGTGCAGGCGAAAGTTTAAATCAGTAACTGTTCCCCTGTTAAAGGCTGCAACTCCTGGCTGCTTAGCTACCTTCTGCTTTCTCAGACTGCACAAACCATAATTAACACCACCTTCTGTCAGACGCAATCCTCAGCCATCGTCTGTGCGCTGCCTATACACTCCCATGTGCAGAGTATTCTCTTTTACTCTCTCTGTCTCTTCCCCTGAAGCCCTCCCCCATTCTTCTCCCCCATGCCTTTATGTCTCCGTTTGTGCACCGGGAACACTCAGCCAGTCAGCCAGAGACAGGACCCTTAGTTAAATACTAAACCATACACAGGTGGGATGAAAAAACAACAACAGCTTGAGACAGGACACAGATTTACGACGGCTCGAGGCACTCAGCTGAGAATAGTTCTCCACTAGAAAATGAACAAATTACACAGCAGTCACCCTAACACAAATGCACACTCAACAGCAATTTGAGAGATTACAGCTGGGCGGTTTCTCTGTGTAGTCTCCGCAGATGAAAAGTAAAGCCTGAGCACATTATGGATATACCCCCATGAAAGTGTACCTCATCATTTCATCTCAATTTTTCACTTGTCATATTTCATTTATCAGAGCAGCTATCACTGTTGAGACTGCAGAAGCTGCCGTGTTGAAAAGCCAGAGAAGAGCCATTTAATATGGCCAAAGCGCCCATGAGCTGCAAAAACCTAGCAATCACTGCATTTGAATGACAAACTGTCAAAACACTGAATAGAGCCACTGACAGAACACAGAATCCCGCTCATCACTTAATACAAATCCCATCCCTTGTTGCCTCCCCTCCCGACTTCTGTTTGTCTTACAGGAATCTGACAGCAATAAAGTATGCTCCCTGTACTCTTTCCGGAACAATTCCACTTCCCCACACAAGCCTGAGGAGGGGGCCCGGGAGCGAAGTGACCTGCTGAGCGGATCAGCGTTTGGAACTCCAGAGCGCCGCAAAGGAAGCCTGGCAGACGTAGTGGACACTCTGAAGCAGAAGAAGCTAGAGGAGATGACAAAGACAGAGCAAGACGGTATGACTCCTCATGTGTGTGTGTGTGTGTCCGTGCAAGTGTGTGTGTGTGTGCATGTATGGGCACAGGAATACTTTACCTTCTTCCCCCTTAAGCGTCCTCGATCTTTCCACATTTTCCTGTTTCTTTAATAGTTTTTCACGCTTGCTGACTGTCTGCCTCTTTTCTCCTGTATCTCTCTCTGTCTCAAACACTCATGCGGGCACACTCAAAGCTGGGAATACTGACGTTACAGTATTTCCAGTTTGTTCTGAACTTCTTCCAACATGACAAAGACTGTGTGGCAGTGCACCTCAGCATAAGTGTGGTCTTCGTCCACGCCAAGGAAAACTCTTTGACTATAAAACTTATAGTGCTGACCTGATGCCAGGAACATTACCTCCTTTTTATTTTGCTACACAAGAACACTTCTCACCATGCACAGTTATTCATCAAAGGTTGCTAACCACAAACAACCCAAGCCCTTCTCAAGGATTTTACCTGTTTCGTGTGCATAATTAATTCAGCTTATTCAGCGCACCGTGAACAGCTGAAAGATTTTTTTGTTGTTGCTGTTGTTGTTTTGTTTCCTAAAAGTAGAGATAGAGGGGGGAAAAAAAGAAATCCCTTTCTGCGATAAGACTGTTGGGTCTCTATCATATCTGCTACCATTTCACCCTGCTTGGCTCTCCCTCCTACAGCCTGCAGTCTATCAAGAGTATGGCGGAAAAACAAATATTTGAAAGAGCTGCTGAAACACATCCCCCTTCTTAATTAGGGCTGTAGTAATATAACTACATCCAATCAAATGTTAAACCCCCTTGGGAATGCATGTGTCTCATTTAGTGTCTGGGGAGCTCTTAGCTTAAGCACTTCATCAGACGAATAAATTAGACCTCTGTTAGCCTAAAAATAATTTGCCACTTCTTTTTTAAGTGTTCGTTCGGCGATCTTTGTATCAGAGCGTCACAGGCCTCTCATCACTTAATCGTTTAGCCACATCCTGATATGAGACTGATTATTTGTGTTGTCATTAGATATTAGAAGTCGGTCCATATTTCACTGAATACAAAAAATCTATATTACAAATTAGACCTGGGTAGGTTTATTAGTTTAATAATTGTTTTTTATTATGATTTAATGGCCACTCGTATTGGCAATTTACCAACACACTGAAAAAAAAGAAGCTCTTAATAAATATCTCAGTTCAGACAGTAAATATACTGTGTTGTCTCGCCCATGTTTTTGGGCCATTTTTACTAAATGCTCTAATGCAGACATAATTTTAGGGATATCCGGTATCCTTGCTGCTACTGATCTACAGATATGGCGAGACATAAAGGAGTTCCCCGAGCAGGACAGCTTCTGGTTAGGACAAAGTTGGTATTGCTATTACTGCTGAGTTTTACCCTAAGGTATAAAAAAATTCATATGTCCTGCTTCTCGTGGAGTTGATTTTCAGGGCAAGACCGTCAGTGCTCTTGGTAGCGACAGCGGGCATTATGGTAATGAGCCCCAGCTGGTGAAGGCTGGTTGTTGCAGTAATTTAAATGGTCAAGTGCAGCTTGTAATCCAGTGCCTTATGTTGGCGCAGGGAGGAGAGGGTGCTTTAGAGTACCATACAGCTGTTTTAATCTCCTGTTAATAATAGTGACTTGGTCCGCCTCATGTGTTGTGTATCCTCACCACCAAAATAAACTCCCTTGTTGGTAGAAATTAGTTTCTGAGCTGGAGACACGCAGAATACAAGAGTTTCGGTGTGCTGTCCCCAAGCTGCAAGAATTGTGGGAGACTTTTTTCCTGGAGAGCACTTGAGGAAGCCTCAGTGGTGATGATATGTGATTACTGTAAAATGGGGGAGAGGGACTCTGAGAAACTGCCCAAGGAAAATCTCAGAGAAACCTTTGAGAGATCTTAATCGTATGTCTTTGTTTCTGGTCAGAGACACAGTTGGAAATGAAAAGGGCAGGATTAATGTAGTAGAGAACATGCAAGAATGCCATTTGTTGCCTTACTAATATACTACAAGCAACAGATGAGCTAAATATGTAGCTTATCTACACATGACAACTGTTGTGTCTAATTCTGCTGCTTTGATGTCTGCCTGGCCGGGGTCACTGAGGTCCTCAGAGACTCCTCACCATCTGGTACCATTCTTCTCTGGCCTTCCTTGTCTAGTCAAGATGGCTCATTGTCGTGATGGACTGAAGATAACTCTAGTAACATCAATTGTAGAGGGACAGCAAATGATCTGCGATACACTTCTCACACTACATTGCTCATAGATGGAAAATAAAACCTATATTTTCTAAAACTTTGCTCTGAAAAGCTTCTTTGCCATTTATTGTTGACAGTCTTCAATAGCTGTTTCTGGTTTCCTGGCTATTGGGTTTTTAAGAGGTATTTTTTCTGTACTGCAAGAACCACAAATGACAGCTGGCTGTTAGCGGCAGCTTTCTCAAAGCCTTAACAAAACCTAAAAATACAGTACATGAATTATTGGGGTAGAAATGAAGGTATACAGACAGCCCCTAAAATAACAGATGGTAATTTTTTGACTTCATCCACTCTATGCATGAAAATAATTTCTTTGTTTTCAAACATACAAATAATAAAAAAAAGAGTCACTGTTCAGTATTAGCTATTATTCCTTCATCCCTTCATCTCTGTATATTTGTACCCTTTCACCCTCTCTATCCTTCCACCTTTACTCTCCATTTCTGGTCCTTAAAGTGCTTTAAGTGCTTGTGACTGTGCTAATGAATGAAAATGTCCTCCCAGCAGCGAGCACTGCATTTAGCTGAATAGTCACCTTTGCTGTAAAAGCTCTATCAGGCCCAGTTGCCAGCAGGGCTAACGATTGTGCCCCATGTTTATTTACTAGGTATTGTAAATGCATTATTTATGGATAAGTCTCCAGACAGCACTTGTCAAGAGTTAAAAATGTCAGTATAAAGTATTAGGGTAAAAAGAAAAATAGCCTTGATTATAAAAACCCAAGGTGACCTTGATTTGATTCACATGCAATTAGAGCAGTTTTATATAATGCACTAAAGTATGAATCAATACTGCGCAAGTCAACACAGAAACTCTTGTGTGTACAGTCTTTATGATCGTCCCCAAGACAAGGACGGGTAATTGGGTTTCAGCATCCCGTTTTACCTTTTGGGGATTTTCCAGGCTCACTATCTACTTGTTGAAACCTTGCCAGTCCATCCAAGACTAATATTAAAACACAAGCAGCTTATTTCCATGTATTAGGGCAGTTAAGAAATATTGTTTTTTATTATATTTTATTTTAAATGAAAGCTGAAAGAAAAATCAATATTCTATATATTTTATTTAAAAAAAAAAACCAACCTTTGAGCTTTACTCTGTTTTTACCACTGCTGACTACAAAAGCCATAGTGTTCAGCATCACAATACGCTCGGCTCGGTTCTTAGACTTCTATTCAGTAAACCGTACTGGGAAAAAGGGGTGACCTGAGAATATTTGATAGTGGATAGTTTCACATGTAATCTGCAGCTTTTATCTAAAACATAACAATAACACAAGTGTCAAGACACTGAGATGGACAGATATTCTAAGACTGCAGCCTTTGAAGAACAGTAAGAGTGGATACACTAGGTGTACTAGCAGAACAGCCAACACCTGGAGTCCTTTGACAAAGTCATGGCTAATTAGTTCAGCAAAGGGAAGCCGTACCACCAGCCAAACTGCAACTGCTTTTTATCCTGAGGTGAAAGGAATTAAATATCCTTCTACTAAGAAAAGAGTTCCCCCTACCGAACCTTTGCCGGTGACATAGAGCAGCACAGTGGGGAGTGCCGCTGGAAGGATTGTGTTTGGTCATATGTGCAAACGGTGTGTGGCTCAGTGCCACTACATAGACGTGTCTTCCTCACCTTCTGCCTTTATCACCTCTTCTCTATTTGTAAGTGTAATCCCCCTGGCGAGATTGTGTATTATCACTGTATAATGACTGTGCAGTAGGTTGAGTGTGGGGGGAGCGATCAGCATTGTGTGAGTAGCCCCAGGTCATTATCCTCTATTACAACACGGCGTGTAATGAGATTCAGGGATGGGTGAAAGCTTTGGAAGAGAATAGGATCAGCTCTAAGCCTGTGGTCTGATTAGCACTGATGAACTCTTGACTCTGTTGTAACACTTTCCCCTGTCAGTGTCACAACCTCTTCTGACTCTACATGGAGACTCAACAGCAATTGGCTGCAGATGCTTGACAGCATTAACAGACATTTTTTGATTCCCATTTTCTTTAAATGCAGCATTAAAAGAATTTTTAAAGGTTTTCCTTCTTTCGTGTATATCTATAACCTGTAATATACATTATACCGGCAAAAATACACCTCCCCCAAAAAAACAGACTGCTGCACTTTCTCCCCTCCTCTTTTAGTTCCCGCCCTTCTCCCCTCTCGTCTCATCCCAGCTGCCATGTCATCTGGTTCTGCTTTATCCCACCTAATTAATAGGAATCTTTGTTATAATGATCTGAGCATGAGCCTCTGACTCTATGCATATGCAATGAGGGCTGGAAACCCAGTTGCCTTGGTTGCAGATTTTGAGGCATTCTTCACACATAGCTCAACGCTGCCTTTCGTTGCAGCATCAGCTGGACAATATAAAGCTGGGACCCTCTTGGCGTTAGCATACACAGGTTAAGTAACGATTAGCCAAGAATCTGCATCTCCTCTGTATGCCTTATTTCCACCTTCTGCAAAGTTTTTTTTTCACTGTTGTTAAAATAGTTTAACAAATTCTTTTAAGTTGTCTGTTTGATCAAAGGGTCATTACTTGATAGTTGTGTTTATGCTTACATCCAGTACTGTATGTCAGGGGGAGTGCTTCCTGTATATATGTGCGTGTGTGTGTGTGTGTGTGAAAGTGTGTGTGTGTGTCTGCACTCTGTTGGCCTGTGGTGTGGTGCACCAGCTCAGCGGAGCAGTGCTCTGGTCTGTCACTTTTGTTTGAATAGGTAATGTAGCTCTGTTCAGGCTGAGGA